GGAGTCAAAATTGGGAGGTTGTGGCCGGCAGGGAATTGATGTACATGGCCGGCTCGGTGAGTCACAAAATTGTCGGTCTCGATCGCCATCTTGGCCAAAATGGCTAGTGCGTCGATGCCTTGTTGGTGTCTCTAGTCGTTCTTGCCCCCCTCCTGTGTCGTACTCACAAAGCGATGCATCCTCTCGAGGTGTAGGCGGTGGCGTCGTCATCGTCGGGATCGACCGTGACTGGGCTTCCGCTGGTGGAGGATGTGAGTCGACATGCTGCCGTCGAGGTTGGGTGGCAGTAGTTGGTCGTTCCGCTATCGTATGTGGTTCTAGTGTGGGGTCTGTGTGAGACAGCCTTCTCGCGCTCCCCAAGCGAGAGGTAGAGGCCGAGGGGATGGTCCACGGTCCACTACTAGGCTGTGGTATGTTGGGCGGTGTGTGGATTTCCCACATGTCGCCGTGCTCGTACAGGTCTGGAGGTGCGCTCTCCCCATCGCGCATGCCTCTATTGGCTGATGAGAGGGTAGGTGAAACTTGTGAAGTGTCGTATGGTGAATCGTAGCTCACCAGGGGCTCAAATAGTCGGCGCTTGACGTCGTCGGCGTAACCACTGCAGGAGTCGGAAGTGCCGTCGTTGCGCTGGCATTCTTCTGGTGTGATGCTGGGCCGCTCCCCCTGGGCCAGTTGCCCCCCAGGGGGTGAGGGCCTCTTTAGTTTTTTGGTGAGTTGACCGCGGGGACTTCCTCGTCGTTGAGGAAGGTTGGCACTCGGTCTCCTGGGTCTGCGAAGCCGTCTCCGATGTCGCAGATACGGACTTTCTTGGGCATGGTCGCTCGTTTAGATGATCCGTTTTTTCGGAGGGCGGTGCGGGGCGGGGGGGCAGAGGTGGCGCGGTCGGGCGTGGCGAGGTGGAAGCGGGGTGGTGGTTGGATTGGCTGCATCGGTGCGGTAGGGGATATGTCGGCCAGTGGAATGCGCACTGGGGTGGAGGGTGGTGGTGCGTCGTCATCGGAAGTGATGTCAATGAGAAGAGTAGTGGATGGGTGGTTGTGCTTGGTTGAGTCTGTCCTTCTGGTGCGTGGTGGTGGCGCTGAGCTGGGTCGGTCATTTTGCGGGTCGGGTGGGTGGAAGCCGATGGGCGTATGCTGCTCGGTGGGGATCGGCGTAAGCGAGGCGGGGGTGGGTAAAGGCGTGGGGACAGGGAAGGGATATGCGTCACTCGCAACAGGGGTTGGGCTGCAAAGGTCGTCGTCGTCGGCTGGGATTGGGGTGTGCACGCTGGCGTCGTCGGCGTCGTGGCATGGGCGTCTCGCAGTGGGAGTGGCGGTTGGCATCGCAGGTGTCGGTCGAGGCGGAAGCGCGGGAATCGAAATCTGGCGGGGCATTCCTTCACAACGTGGTGGTGGTGTGCTGCTGCGCTGTCCGCTGTTGCTGGGCTGTCCTCCGCTGCTGCTGCCGCGGTTTCTGAGGTATAGTTGATAGCCCGAGTCATCAGAGGAAGACGGTGGGGTCAGCAGGTGGAGTGCCGCTTGAACCTGTTTGTCGATCTGTGCTTGTTCAGCATCTGCTTGGGCTTGCAGTCGTGCGTCTTCTTCGTCTCGTTCTTGGAGTTGTGTGTCGAGCTCCCTGAGGATGTCCACGTCGATGCTGGTGCCGAACTCGTGGGCTTGCCGTAGTTCGCAGTGCAGTCGCTCGCGCTCCTGTCTATGTTGCTGAAGGTGCTCCTGTAGTTGGAGTTGGTGCTGCTCCTGGAGTTCGTTCTCGAAGCGTTGCATGTCGCTGGAAGAGCCTCGAAGCTTGTCGATCTCGCTGTTGTACTCGCTCTGGGCCATCATGGTGCGGTACTTCTGAGCCTGTACTTGTCCGAACTCCTCCAAAAGTAGCTCCTTAGCATCCTGTATCTGGTTCTGTTCAAGCCTCGCGATGTTGCTGATGTCCTGCTGGGCCTGAGCTTTCTCAGAGAGAAGACGCTGCTGTTGTTCGTGGCATCGTTGTTGATATTGTTTGACCATGATCTCAGCATTCTCCTGTAGCTGGTGTCGGAAAGTCTCTTCCTCTTGCCTCCTCTGGATGATGAAAGTGGCGAGGTGAGCTGACTCCTCCTCCCTGAGCTGGTCTCGCAGGTGGGCCTCCTTCTGCTGGTAGTGAGCCATGTTCTCCGTGATGGATTCTTGAGCCTCGTGTCGGAGCCGCTCCTCGCGTTGTCGGAAGGCTTGGATCTCGTCGTAGTACGACTGTCTCTGCTGGGTTTGTGCCTGCTGAAGTTGTTCCTGGCAGTGCTGTAGGTGTTGCGAAAGCTCCTGAATCTGCTCGGTCTGCCGTTGACGCTGTGCTTCGTGTTGTTCGGATTCAGCTCGTTCATGATGGAGAAACGCCAGATGGTGTTGGTGTATACCGTGGTTGCGCTGCTGCTCGTCCACTCTCCTCGTCAGCACGTCGATGAGGTTCCGTAGGTCGCTGCCGTCGTTGGTGGTCGGAGCAGGCACTGGCTCAGACGCGGGTTGACGAGATGGTGGTCGTTGTCGTCTCTCGGGGTGTGGTGTCTTGCCTCTGACTCGATGGCGCCCGTCGTCTTCACCGTCTCCGTCACAGCTGTCTTCGTAAAGTTCAGCGTGTTCTCGATACTTCTTGGCCTCGGAGATGAGTGCCTTGAGGGATGCGATCTCGCCTTTGATTTCGTCGTGCTCCTTATTGAGGTCGTTGAGCTGGCTCTCGACGGTCTGCTGTCTCTGGATTCGTGACTCCACTTGGGATCTGTATTGTGCGATGCGAGCCGTCGGTGTGTCCAGCAGGTGGATCATGGTCTTGACTATGGCTAGCTCCTCGATGAGGCGGGTTGGGTCGACTTGTGCTTGCCTGGCTCCGTGTACTTGGTCAGCGAGACGTGCCATCCTCGCCACCTTGGTGGCGTGCCATACCCGACGTATGTCTGGCTCATCGGGGGGAAGAGAAAAGCTCTCGTGTCCCTTGGCCTCCGAAAGCAGGGCGGGCATTATTTTGTCAGTGACCTCCAGCTGTCGTTTCGTAAGCTTTGGCAGATGTCGGTGATCGTTGGTGGCGTCTTCGGGGGCCTGGTAGCGTCTCCTTGATGGAGTCCGCTTCGTTCTCGATGTCGTGGAGTCGTACTGATACTTCTGTTGATGATGGGCGTCGTTGTGCTGCTGTCGATCCTCGTCGTGTTGGGAGTTGTGGTGGTGCTGGTTGTGCTGGTGCTGGTACCGTGGCTGCTGCTGTCCATGCCCTCCATTGTGTCGGCGATGAGAGGATCCAGATGCTGGCGTACTTGACCTCCATGGCCACGGCTTGGCCCCCACTGGATGGCCGTGAGACTTCGTATTGGTCGCCATCTTGCTGGTCTCGAAGTCCTGCAGCTCGTACTGCTGGTCGCGCTGGTGCTTCTGCGCCGAGTGGTGGCTGGCCAGGGTGTCGGCAGCCCTCAAGACGCGCAGGAGGGCCCGCGCCGACGCCCGGCGCTCCCTCTGCCGCCTGTGCCAGGCGGGCTCGGGCGTCGGGCCTCTCCTGGGCGCGCCGAGGCGCGCGGCAGCCGCCAGGCGGGGGGCCAGGGCGCGGCAGCGGGCGGCGAATCGCCGATCCGCGGCGCGCGGAGCCCGGCCTCGCGATCGGCCTGCGAGGCGGGATCGATCGGGCGGCTGGCGCCGATCGACCCTGACCGAGCGATCGGTCGCAGGCCCAGATCGCCAGAGGCCAAATGGGCTTGGTCATCCTCCTCCTCCTCCTCCTCCCTCCTCCTTCTCCTCCTCCTCCTCCTCCTCCTCCTCCTCCTGCTCCTCCTCCTCTTCCTCCTCCTCCACCTGGCCTACACGATGGCCCAAGATATCTCCAAGACGGGCCAAGGGGCCTCGAAGGCGGCCCAGGATGGCGTCACAAGGCAGCTCACGAGGCCTCCAAGGTGGCTCCGAGAGGACCCCCCCTCAGGGGTGGCCTGGGGAGGCAACTCCAGCTCTGGATGGCTCTTCGGATTCTGCTCTCCTCGGTCTTCAGAGCGCCCAAGGCGGCCCAAGAATAAGAAGAAGTAGAAGCCCCCGCCGCCCGCCCCCCCCACGAGGACCCCCACTGCGGCCCAAGAGAGCCCGCAGACGGTCCCAAGGGGCCTCCAGAGGCTCCCGAGGCAGCCCGGGGAGACCCCCAGAGGCTCGAGAGGGGGCCCCCCACGAGGGCGCCGGGCGGCCCGAGGGCGCCCCGCGAGGGCCCACGAGGGCCCCCCAAAAGGGGCCCGAGGGTGCCCCCCGGGAGGCCCCCGAGAGGGCCCCGACGACGAGAAGTGGCGCCAATGGCGGCCCCCAGAGAGCCCCCCGCCGGGCCGGTGGGAGGCCCCCCAAATGGCCCGAGGGAGCCAAGAGGCACCCCGAGGCTCCTCGGGTGGCCCTCGGGCCATCCAAATTGTCACTTGGGGCGCTTCGGGGTGCCCCCAGACGTCCTCCCTAAGGCACCGCCACGTTTCCGGCCCAAGAGAGCCCCCAGATGGCCCGAGGGAGCCCCAGGAGGCTCCCGAGAAGACCACAAAGGCGAGACACGGCGCCAGGGCAGCCCCGAGACTGCCCCAGCAGGCCCCTTCCCCGCGCTGCACCAGCGGCTTCCCCCACAGCTCTGGCCGCACGCGGTCCACCGGCATCGGCGCGCTGGTGGTGCTGACGCCTGGCACCACCACACCAGCATTTGCAGAGGCGGAGGAGGAGGAGGAGGAGGAGAAAAGGAGGAGGAGGAGGAGGAGGAGGAGGAGGAGGAGGAGGAGGAGGGGGAGGAGGAGGAGGAGGAGGAGGAGGAGGAGGAGGAGGAGGAGGAGGAGGAGGAGAGGGAGGAGGTGGGCGGCGAATCATACGCCGCAGGCGTCTGCGATGGATTCCCAGGAGACGTGCCCAATACGTGATGCGAGCCCCGTCGTCCTTGCCTGACTCCCTCTCAGGCCCTGCCCCAGCGCCTCGTTCCCTCAGGCAGCCCAGCGTCCTCCAGCACTGCCTCCCTCCCTCCCTCAAATGCCGCCCACTGCCAGCCAGCATCTGGATCATGAAGAGCAGCATGCACGACCACGCCAGCACGATGATGCTGCTCCGGATAGCAGTGGTCATCAGGAACAGCGCGTCGAAGCTCCGTATCTGCCTTGAATCCGCGGCCATCCCGTGGAGGGAGTGAGAAGGGGCGGGCCTTCTCAGAAGGCTCGGATGTCCCCGGGCCTTCTGAGAAATGTTCGATGCGTCTCAAAAGCCAGAGGGCTTCTGAGAAGTCCCGCCGCCCTCTGAGAAGGACTTCTCCTTCTCACTTCCCCCCCTCGCTCGCCGCCGATTGAAGCTTCGTTCCTGCCATCGTCGGCTGCCCAACGCCCGCGCCCACAGCGAGCGGCGGGCGACCTCAGGAGACCAAATCCTTCAAAACCATTGTCTTGCAACCCAAGCGGTGCGGTCAATTCTCGGGTCCCGACGGGGGTGCCCTACTATGCGCCGCTCTCCTTTTTTGCTGTTGCTCGATGGCCTCCACGATGTCCCCCAAAAGCCCCCCAAGGCCCCCAAGAGGGTCCCAGGAGAGCCCCATGCAGGAGCGCTCGAAGAGGGCACCCGGAGAGCTCCCCGAGGGCCCAAGAGGCTTCCAATATGGCCCCGGAGGGGCCCCAGGATGACCCCTAAGATGCCTCCTAGACGCTCCCACAGCGAAAGGTCGCAAACGTCCGGGTATTGACTCCTGTCGTCGTCGTCGTCGTCGTCGTCGTCGTCGTCGTCGTCGTCGTCGTCGTCGTCGTCGTGTGATCGTCCCGCGCCTGCCTGCTGGATGCCCACCGCGGACGTCGGTGCCCGCGCGCCCAACGCAGCGCATGCAGGGCGAGCAACGGCAGGCGGCCACGCTGCCACGGCAACCTCGGGCACGCACGGCGCAACACGGGCACCGCAGGCGACGACGGGCAACGATCCAACCAGGACGCTTCACAGCCTTGATCAGGGCAGCGCGCCTGGCGTCTGTGTTTGGATGGGCTGGCGGGGATGCGCGGAGCGCTGAGGACTTCTTAGCATGCGCCCCTTGGACTTACACTTTATGGGATGTGGTTTCGACGCGCCCACCACGTGCTGCAGCGCCCACTGCGCGCCCGCGCGCGTACGTGCTAATACGGAAAGTGATGTATTGCCACAGCGAGAAAGACAACAAGTTAGTTGGATTCCAAACGTGACATCCGGTTTCCACACGCCGATCACGCACGTGCGCGCTGGTACGGACCGCAAGTTCCTACGGTTATCTAGGAGTCCGTTGTTTTCTTATCTGAAGCTCAAATGACGCGCGCGAAACTTCGCAGCAGACAGCGCATGCGTAAACGAGCGCCTATCGATGGGGCCAGCTCAATACACAACAAGCGGAAACGAAACACCGCGCGAATGTTGATAGTTACGGAGAACGAAACATACATATATAAACAACTTACAAAGTTTGTCATGTCATGGTGGCTTTCAATCCCTAATCTTCAATCCCCGTTTCGACGCCTGGTGGCTTTCGGCCATAATTCGGGCGTCCGGCGGCTGTTCAACACGATCCAGACACCCACAGAAATCTTCTCACGAGGCACAGCTGCTGGAGAGCACCTCGAGGCGAGAAAATACGGTATCCAAGAACCGACGAAAAAGAAGGACAAAAAAAGAGAAAACAAAAATAAAAACAACAACAACACTATATATATATGTATAAAAAGAGAGAAAAAAAAAAAAAAAAAAAAAAAAAAAAAAAAAAAAAACGCCTCCCAGGGACCCTCCCCCCAATCGTCACCCCCCTCCTCAGACATGCGATGCTTTGACTTTTTCTACACGGAACTCTTTGGCAGTCCCGCCGGCCCCTCCCCCAGAGCCGGGTATTCTTCGCAGGTCGCTTTTTGGCGGTCCTGGAACCTGGCGAAGGCCCACCGGGGGTCGAAATCGGCCAACATTTCCCCGTCGTGATTTTTCCACGGCGCGAGCATGTCCGGGCTTTAGGGCCACAGCTCGGTCCGGGACGTCCCGAACCGTCGCCCGAGAAAATCAAGTGTTGGCCGATCGCACGATCCGGGGACCCCCGCAGGCCCATGGCGAAGCGCATCTGCTGGAGAGCACCCCAAGGCTGGACAACCGCCGAGAACGTAGGAAAACGCCAGAAAGCCTCGAACCTCCTCCTCCTCCTCCTCCTCCTCCTCCTCCTCCTCCTCCTCCTCCTCCTCCTCTTGCTCCTCCTCCTGCTCCTGCTCTTGGTCGTGCTCCTGTTCCTGCTCCTGTCCCTGGGCCTCCTCCTCCTCCTCCTCCTCCTCCTCCTGCTCTTGCCCGCGCGCTTGCCCGCGCTCCTGCTCCTGATCCTGGTCCTGGTCCTGGTTTCGGTCCTGGTGCTGCTCCTCCTCCTCCTCCTCCTCCTCCTCCTTCTCCTCCTCCGCCTCGTCCTCCTTCTCTTGCGAGCGAAGTAGCGGACGATGAGTGCACGCGCCCACCGCCGCCGCGGGGCGGGGCAAACCCGCCGCCCCGCGACCCTATGGGGTTAGGCGCCGCGCATTCCTGGCGGGGCCCGAAAGAGAAACAACAGACAAAACATAGAAAACAAAGAGGCGCCAGGCTCACCACGTGGAGCTCCAGGAGCTCCACCGACCCGCCGATGATGCTGCACCAGGGGACACAGGCTACCCCGCGTCACCGCGCGGGGCACACGGCGCGTGTCACCGTCCAACCCCTACAAGCCCCCTTGCCCAAGGGGGGACAAACGGTACACGTCTTTAGCGGCACTCTCCACAAGAGTCGACCCCTCTGGCCACACCCGACACCCCGACGTCAGGGGCGGGCCCTAACAATGGCCAGAGCCAGCCCCCGCATAGGCTGGTACCACGCAGGCCGACGCAAACTGGAGAACCAGTCCGCGCCAGCACTGGGGGGGTACCCGCGCGGCCCCAGAACTTCGGGTCCCCGGGGGGCCTGAGACGGCAAAACGACTCCGCACTGGGACCACCCAATAGAATCGGGGGCCGCCCCAGGCCCGCCAGGGCACCAACGCCCCTGGGCCGCGGCGCCACAAACAACGTTTTGGCGGATTTCAGTTCCCCCAAGGGCCCCGATGCGCCGCCCATGCGTCAAGGTCGCCCCCTGGGGGCTGCTGCTCCTCCTCCTCCTCCTCCTCCTCCTCCTCCTCCTCCTCCTCCTCCTCCTCCTCGTCCTCGTCCTCGTCCTCCTCCTCGTCCTCCTCCTCGTCCTCCTCCTCCTCCTCTCCTCCTCCTCCTCCCCCTCCTCCTCCCCTCCTCTCCCCCTCCCTCCGACCTCCCTCCTCCTCCTCCTCCTCCCCCTCCTCCCCTCCTCCTCCTCCTCCTCCTCCTCCTCCTCCTCCTCCTCCTCCTCCTCCAAGACGCGAGCGCCCCTCGCCAATCCCCGCCTGACCACGCGCACCAGCCGCATGAGGCGGGCCAGGCGAGCCACGCGGAACACGGTGCTGTTGTTCAGGAGGGTCTTCTTTTCGGCGGTGGCCGACCAGAGCTCGACGTACCTCTCTCTTTTTCGAGTCGGGGATCGACTACACAATCGGCTTACCCCAAATCTGACTCTTTCGTCGAATCCACGGACAAAAGCATGGTCAGAATGCTCCATAGAGCTACGGAGCAGTCAGCGTATGTTCCGTAGATCCGACGGAAAAGCAATTCTGGGGTAACCAATTCTGCAGTCCATCCCCTACGTTTAAGTCGGGCGTGTCCCCCTACAGGGGGATTTGGAGCGAAAAATAAACAAAACTAGCAACATACCCCCAATATAATCAAACATATTCAAAACAAATCGCCCCCAGACTCAACTCTCCAGCGGCCAGCTCTCTTCGGCGGCACAGGCCCCGGTGGGAAGGCCCGACCCTCCCCGCACCCGCGTGCCGCTCCTGGTGGTGGTGGTCGTCATCGTCGTCGTCGTCGTCGTCGTCGTCGTCGCCGTCGCCGTCGTCGTCGTCGTCGTCGTCGTCGTCGTCGTCGTCGTCGTCGTCGTCGTCGTCGTCGTCGTCGGACCTTCGTCTGCTGCTGCCTGTCGGCCGCTGGCTGCGGAGCCCGCTGCTGCCGTGGCCGCTGCTGGCCTCGGGACGCCGGTGCCCTGCGCCGCCGGGGGGGCGCGGGCCTCCTCGGAGGGCTCGGAGGGCCATTCGGAGGCCTCCGGAGCAGCTGCCCGGGCCCTCCCCGAAGACACGCGGCGCTCCTCGTGGAAGGCCAGGGTGGCTTCTGAGAAGCCCCGCCACCTCCTGAGAAGGCCTGCCCCCTCTCGCTTCCCCCCCCCCCTCCCGGGCGCGCCCACTGCCGAACCTCTCGAAGAACAAGCGTCGACATAATTAGACTTCAACGTTTGGAGGTCCGCACGGACTTCTTGGATCGGCGCTTGAGCTCCCTCGCTGGCGCGCGGAGCGCGCCAGGGGCGGCGCCGGAAGGAGGAGGAGGAGGTGGAGGAGGAGGAGGAGGAGGAGGAGGAGGAGGAGGAGGAAGGAGGAGGGGGGGGGGAGGGAGGAGGAGGAGGAGGAGGAGGAGGAGGAGGAGGAGGTGGAGGAGGAGGGGGGAGGAGTCGGAGGAGGAAGGAGGAGGAGGAGGAGGCGGAGGAGGAGGAGGAGGAGGGGAGGAGGAGGAGAGGAGGAGGAGGAGGAGGAGGAGGCGGAGGAGGAGGAGGAGGAGGAGGAGGAGGGAGGAGGAGGAGGAGGAGGGGAGGAGGAGGAGGAGGAGGAGGAGGAGGAGGCGGAGGAGGAGGAGAGGAGGAGGAGGAGGAGGAGGAGGAGGAGAGAGGGAAGGCGGAGGAGGAGGAGGCGGAGGAGGAGGAGGAGGAGGAGGAGGATCATGCTGGATCATGCTGCGATGCCACACACGTGGCCAGTTCAATCGCTGTCACCGCTATCATAACCACCGCTGCCCAACCCCTGCACACGAGCACCAGCGAGCACTGTCTGCCCCTGACCCTGGGCTCTGAGCTGGGCAGCGACTTCCTCAAGCTCATTCTCCTCATGCAAGCGAGCGGCAGCGGCAGCAAAAGCAGCAGCCGCGTCCTCGCCCACGGGTGGGGCGTCCTCGCCGACCGTCATCACGTCGGCCAGCTCTCCGACAGGGCGATCGGACGAGCGGGCCACATACTCATCAAAAATGGGCCTCTCCTCCATTGGCCTCACGGCACCACCCACGCCCCCAGTTCCTTCCCGAGGGGGTGGCGGGAGGGCTCGCGCAGCAGCATCCAGCGCCGCCGCCTCACGCAAGGCCACGGGTGGGCCCCGATAAGACGGAAAAACACCCTTCTTAATTCTCTTGAGGTTTTCGCCCCCCTTTCGAGTGGGGGGGGCCCACACTCTCTGAAGCCACCGACCGTCTGTCGTGGCTGTGAAACCACATCGCTGACAGAAGGTCAGCCCGAACGCACACATCTTGGCGAGGCGGTGGCTGTGGTGAAGCTTCACAGCGCCAACCCACACCTCTCCCGAGATCGCCTCGAAACCCTCTCCAAACACAGGGCTCAAACCCAGCGTTTCAGCCGAATCCGACGGCAGCGACGGGATCGGAACGCGGCACGGGGTCGAGGCAACAACGAGCACCTGGCTCCTCGGGACAATCACCTTGCACACATCGCAACGCCAGCGACCAGCGAACGGGCGAAACTTGTGCGCACTATCGCGGATCGCATGGTCGAATTTAGTGGGCTTGCGGACCTTGGGCGCTGGCGGAGCTCTGACCCCTTCCCAAGGTTCAACCTCGAGCGCCAGCATCATCGCCCTTCTGGCCCTT